AAGAGTGGTGGCCTTTTTCTAAAATTAATATTGAAAGATATGCAATCTACAATATTCATCAAAACAAGGTAGGATGGCATTTTACGATCTGATTTAATGAACAGCAAAATGGTAAAGAAGCTAAATAGTAGCAATAGCTACTATACCTATTTTGGCTACTATACATATATTAGCTGATAGCTATTATATATATTATATCTTAAAAGCAAATAGCTATTGTGTATATATATATACACTTTGCTTTATAACAAAAAGGCTAAATTGGCAAAAGAAAGGTAAATTTTGACAGAGAAGGAACTTGGAGCTACCAAAAAAAAATCCTGTATAAAAATATATGGCTCCATCAAATCTATAATACAGCTTAGCTACTACAAATTAAAACAGGCATTCTGATTTTCTAGCTGGGCAAGAAATAGCTTAAGTGATTAAGCAACACAGAATTTTGATAACATTAACTTGCTTTTACTCATTTCACAGTACTCATTTAAAAAACTTCGAAGTATATGTACTATTTCGTATTGTAAACAAGCATGTCTAATAATATTACAACAAATGCTAAACAAATTAAACAAAGCACACAAACTAAAAAGGGCGTTTAAAAGTCTTCAAGCAAATAGCTCACCTTCTCTGGAGTCAGGCATTTCATATTGGTTGACTTCAGTATGTGCTGCAAGTATTCGTTTAGATCAATGATATTAGTATTCACTGTAACCTTCAAGGGAAAAAAATGGCAATTACTTTAATTAGCATCTCAGGCATTTCTGAAACGGTCTCTTCTTCAGAGGTCTGAAAAGATTACCACTACCTTTCTCCTTGAGGAACACCACATTCAGTAAGCTAGCTCCAAATCACATTATGTGGTGGCATCATACAATGTCTTCACCTCCTGCCATCCGCTTGTTAAAGGGTGGGAATTCCATGCTATGACCATGGTTTCTAAAACGTATTAGGTGAATATGATACTCTGCTGAACACGTAGACTCTCTACAGCAAATAATATACTTCTTGTCTGAATATAGTTTACACATTGCCAGCACGAGAAAAAATGGTATCTAGTCCAAAAGCTTGCTTTTAATCAACGATAAAAATTACTTTCCTATTTCCCTTTTAGCAACAAAGCTCTCTGGACTGTGTTGGCTTCCTCACATTGAGTATTATGGGTCTTGTGTAAATTGCTTTTTAACACATCTTTTAGGAGTAGTTTACAAATTGCTAAGGCTTCACATATTATGGATTAAAATTTATTGTTGACAAGTTCCCTTTGAGGGAACTTAAATCCACTCTCAAGTGAATACACATAAATACATGTTGCAAACAAGGTTACAGTTTGTGCAAAATATCTCCCATTCTGTTTTAATGTTTCTACTCTATTCTTAAATTGTGTTGCTCTGTTGCATGAGATTATCTCCGCTAAACCCTTTTTTAACACGTCTGTAACTAACAGTTTGGACACCCTCTAATATTAATTGTACCTACCATTTTGTTGGGTCTTACACAGCATCCATAACCACTCTGTATGCTACAGCTGTATTGCAAAGTAATAAAGTGAAAGATGTCCCTGCCCATGGCAGGGGGGGTAGAATAAATGATCTTTAAAAGGTTCCTTACAACCCAAAACATTCTATGATTTAAAAAAAAAAAAAAAAAAAAAAAAAAAAGACAACATAATTCGAAACTGGAGAGGCTAAGCAGTATGACTACTTCTGCAGTCTCAGCATAAACTTGTACTTGTTGCTATCACATCTTTGAGCTGAAATACACAGCAATCACCAAGCAATTTGGATACCTTCTGTACAAGAGGTAAGGCTCAATGCACACACCTCTTTTGTAAGAAAAAACCAGTTATTGTATCACTAAGCTTGTGAAACAGATAAGATAACAATAAGAGAATGAGTTACTTGAGGCCAACATCCAATGCAGATGTTGAATGAGGTTTGTACCACAAGAGATAATGTTGATGTAATGAGCTGACGTAGAAACAAGAAACAGAATTACACCTCATCAATAAAAACCCCAAATAACATACAAAAACTAAAACTAACTTTGTTTTCCCACTCAAATTCTGCCCACATCTGTCTGAACTCTGCATCCGTACAAGAAGCAGGCTGGATGTAATCCATGATGTCAATGTGAATGTCACTGAGAACCACACAGTTTCTGTCGCTGGCTGCTCCAGAGACATCATACACTGCAATAAAAAACACAAACCACCTTAATGTTTAAAAATGTGAATTTGCACTAAGTAAGAGTGCTCAGTTACCACCTGCCAATTAAAAACAGTCAACGCTTGCTCAATCTCATTGCTGACCTCTGTCCTCTTCAAGTGCTTTACCCAGTTGCCACAGAACTTTGAGTTAACTGTATTGGTCTTTCAGGCAAAGCTGCCTAGCTCATTTCAAATTCAGAGACTTGGGTTCAAGTATCATGCCAACAATCACTCTAAAGGTAGCATGTTCTACTACGATTTTAAGTAAAAGTGATATAAATTTTTAAAAAATCGTCAGAAAATATTCATACATTGTAGACCATTTAATTTCCTCTTCCAGTATGAAGTGTTTTAATTATTTTTGAGCTCATTAAGCAGTTAAGAAATGCTACACGTTAATGTTAATTTTGCACACTGAATTGTTTACTTACCAATATTACCAAAAATTATTCCATTTTCTGTTGAAGCGACTTTGACATTAGCTTTAATGTTTGCAAAATCATGCGGAGCAAGTGTCAGAGGAGATGGTTTTTCCACAAGTTTCAAGTCACCTGTGTAAAGAAATTGCGAGATGGGGATCAGGGAATATTAACAGTACACAATGAGTTTAGCTTTTGGAACAAAATTTTTTATTTTCTTGTCATGCAATTCTAATGTCTACAGAGTTGCACTAAATACTACCATAAAAGTATTAGTTGATTTGGAATTTTTTTTTTGGTTGGTTGGTTTTTTTACAGTTTGCTACCTGCAAGACAAAGTAATTTATGTTACATTAAAAATTTCAGTTAAAATATTAGTGTATTCACCCAAACCCCAATGGCCGGTCACGAGCGGTGTTCCCCAGG